GTCATGTACGTTAATTAAAGGTTTTTTGTTTTTTAGAGCCAACCATATGCCATTTTAGGTAGTAATATGCAAAGCCATCAAATGACTTCACAGGTTACAACTCAAATGATACCCCAACATGGAGTAACAGTAATGAATCAAGCCGGGCAAATGCAACAAACAGGTTTCTTTTCTTCAATTTTTGGACAGGTGTGTAAGTTAGACAGTGTTTTTTATTGACTTTCTCCAATTACCAGCGGACTGTTAGTTGTAGTAAATACTGGTAATACGCCGGGGCAACTGATTCAAAACCAGCATCAGATAATGACTGGACAGTCTCATCAGTCTTCGCAACAACCATTGAATGTAACTTCTGTGAGCCAACAAATGTTGCCTACGATGTCGCATCAAACACAGTCAGCTCAGCAACATCAGATGATGACTTCTTCATCTCAGCATCAAATGCTTCCAACCTCCCAACATCAAATGATGTCAACATCACCTCAGTTTATTCAGCATCAGACCGTTGTTGCTCAGCAACCAGTTGCACAGACTTCGAACTTTGCGGTGCCTTCTCAGACGCACTTAAGGCAGCAGAATCCTGTTTACCAACAAAGTTCTCCTCACCGACCTTCTGCTCCTAGATTTCCTTCCTCCAGTCCAGAAAGTATCAACCACAACCAACAATTATGTAAGCTTTTTTCTCTGAACGTTGTGTTTCCAATATACCAGGTTTTTATTGGAGTTTTACTTCTACTAGTTGTTGTTGCTTTATTTCTCCCAAATTTTTTTATTTATAGTTCCAGAAATCTGGTTGCAACTCGTTTGAATTTACACTAAGCTTTTTGATTGACAAATTTCTCTTTTGCTGAATGCGGGCTTTAACTGGGATTCTCTTTTCATTTATATATTTATTGATTTTAGATCGTGCTCCGCCGCAACGTCCGCCTTCTGTTCAGAGAGTACAAGTGGGCCAGTCGTCCGCAATCCGGCAAGCACTAGGACATCTTCCCTCAACGCCAGCCACATCCGCTTCTACCGCACCGACCGAACCAGTATCGTTGAACGGAGTAAAACTTCTAGACAAGGTACAGTTGTGAGTTTTAAGATTAAAAATTATGGACAGTGATGAAGTTCCTGAACCGTCACAGTGAATCTGTTCTTGGAAATAGGTTTTTGAGGCTTATTGATTGTGCTTCACTCGGTCATTATTCTTGGTGGTTCCTTAATTTTGTTCAATTGGTTTCATTTAGGAGGCGTTAGAAGCATTAATCAAGTCAGTAGATCCTTTTGAAACGGTGGAGGATGATGTGTCAGACGCACTGAAACAGTTGGTGGAAGAGTTTGTTGACGAAGTTGTGGAACATACAGCACGTGTTGCGAAGCACCGGTTTGTTTCACTGTTCTTGACTAACGAGGTTTAACCGTTG